GGACTGGCTCAGTGAGGTGTAGTGTGCATCCTTGGATGGTGGTGCTGTCAGTGCCTGAGGTGCAGAGGTGCTAGCCAAGCAAGAGGGCCTTGGTCTTTTTAACACTTAACTGTAGAAAGCTCTCATCCAGAACTTGATGTCTGACAGGACAGCAGTTGTCCTGCAGTCAGAGTGGAGGCAGAGAGGTAGAGTTGGGTGTCATCCGCATACATGTGGAAGTTGACTCCATGTCTGTGGATGATGTCCCCAAGAGGGAGCATATAGATATTGAAGAGGACAGGACCAAGCACAGAGCCCAAGGACAAGATTCCCACTACATTATTTTGAAGAGCAGGGAGCTCTGGCCAGTGTACTGCTAGGATGAGATCATCCTCCTCTCTTCAAATCTACCGCAAAAGGATTAAGTCACTTGTAATGAAGTTAATATAAAGTGCACAAAAAAATAATCCCTGATTACTACTCATGAATAGTCAGGGCACATACATTTTGATGTCATCAGATAGAAAAATAGTGACCCTGAGCACATGGTACTCATTCTTTAATGAACATTGAGCCCCCCCCCCCCCCGCTGAATTAGGGTATTCAATGATAATTGTATTGCACCAACAATTCCTTGATGTAATTGGTACCTTTTTATGATCCAATTCAAATCATCCTTAAGTGACCCAATGGGGAAGCAATGCACCTTCCTATCCACTTATGCAAATTATAAATAGTCAGTTACACTGTCAAATTGTTGAGGTTAAAGTCAGACATTTTGGCACCAAAAGTATCAAAAACAACTCTACATACATAAAAAATTATTTAAAGGGCTACTCAATATACTTATAGCGTGCATGTGCCAGTTCTACTGAATTTCAGTACTTTCCGAGTTTCCCCGAGCACAATCGGTAATTTCTAAGCAAGTGCGCTTAGAAATTGTTTTAGCAAACACATAAACTTTACAGGACATATTTTAGATAACAAACAGACATAGTTTGCCATTGAGAGCATTGTCTGGCAAACTTTCCCACTGCTTGTCCAGATAGGACCACCCAAACCATTAGGGCTTTGGCTTACAGGGTTAACAATACAAGATTACATTTGTATATCGCCTTTCACGTCGAGTGGATGTCCCAAGGCGATGGGAAGGGAACTCAGTGTAAGGATTCTCTGCCCCCAGTGACTGGTCTTCCCTTCCAGGTCCTGCCAGTGAGCCGGGTTGATTGTGCTGTCAACAGCAGAGCCCCGGAGTACTGCCAACATAGAACCGAACTAGAGATGTCACAGGGGGTTGGCTTGATTCTGACATTCCATTGCCAAACATATCACCTTGGAGCCAATTCAGCTCCACGGAAAGCCCCCCCTTACCTCCTCACCAGGTGGGTCCTCAGTTCCTCCAAGGTTAATTTCCAGCCAGAAATGAACAGCTGTTTGCACCAATCAGCCTCTTACCTCGGAAACCATTGCAGAGCGCTTAACAGTGAAGGAGCCTGAGCTTGGTGGGAGGTGGGGGAGTCAGGAAGGCTGTCGAAGAGGCAAATGTTTAGAAATAGTTTGAAGTCGAGAGAGATTTAGGAAGAGAGTTGCAGAGAGTGGGGATGAAGTGGCTGAAACTTTGGCCACTGCTGGTGCAGAGGAACAGAGTGGGGATGGGGATGTCAGGGGCACCTCTTTCACCTTTTGCTGGTTAGACTCCAGCAGTTACCCCAACCACACTCTGGGGTCCCCAAGCCTTGGCTCTTGCCTAATACTCTGTGCATTAGGTAAGCAGGAAGCATCCCTCCAGTGAGTGTGCACATTCCATTCCAGACACAAGGGAAAGCTCCATGTGTAGGTGGCAGACACACTGTGATAGTGATGGGTTACCGCAGGCCGGCAGTGACTGGTTGACCATAACAAACCTCATGGCGTAACCAGTGGGTAATGCGTCTGCGGGACACAGAGGCAGAAGATTGTGGGTTGATAGCCTGGTCAGTGCAGATTACACAGATTTACATAGACTGAACAGCACTGAAACAGCCGACTGGCCCAACCAATCCGTGCTGTGTTTATACTCCACACAAGTCTCCACCCATTCCTTACTCCCTTCCAAGCCCTCTATTCCCCTCTCGCGCATGCGAAGGTCTAGCTTCCTCTTGCGTGCACTATCTACACTATCTGATTCAACCACCGCTTCAGGCAGCGAGTTCCACAATCTCAACCAGGGCCACAGAGGGGGTTTTACAGACAGACCACCTCCCTCACCGCCCCCCGGGAGATTGGCTTGTCTGGAGCAGCAGGAATGGCAGGAAGTGAAGAAAAAGTTGGGAAATGGAAGTACAGTAATTTGGCGTCTGTGAAGTTTCAAAACAGGAAACCTGGTAATAAAAGTTGCCAGACAGAGGTCCTGATAACATCAATCCCAAATACCAAGTGTGACTCGCAGATGTCTCTCCAAATTGTTCTGCTCTGAATTTACACAGCCCGAGCAGCAGCTGTGTCTGCCGTGTCCACTCAGGGCTCCATGGTCAATGGTCGGTGGTCGGGGAGGGACGTGGTAAAGGACAGTGCCAGCAGCTTGTTCTGTTCTGAATTTATGAATTTTTCTCCTCTCGGCACCAACATGAGAACAGCCTCACCTGTTCCCCAATACCTTGCCCATGGGACCATTCTGTTACCAGCTGTCCCTACCTGTACATACACTAAACGGGGTGGGGGGTGCGATTACAGAGAGAATGTAATGGTGCGACTCCGCTGCACTGGCATGATGTGAGGTGGTGTTGTGGCCTGAATCCGACATTCAACCCTTAATGATAACAACACACAGCGGATCCTATGGTCGGATCCAGTCTAGAGAAGCTGTGATTCTCTAAAACTGGATTCCTGTAACTTGGTGGTTAGAGTTCTCGCCTCGCAAGCGAGGACCTGGGTTTGATTCCCGGGCAGGGTGAAACATTAGGCAAGTTTCCTTACTCCACACACCTGTTTACCTCGCAATAATTAGGAACCCGGTTGTTAGTCGATTGGCAGATTCCTTTTCTGGGGCTAATAATCCCTTCTGAAAATATATATATAAAAAATAATAATTTGGTCACTCAATCAATGACTGTGGGACGCTGCTGTGCACAATTGGTTGCCGCTTTTTGCCCACAAAATACAGTAAATTCACTTTACAGTATACTCTGTGAAACACTTTGACACATCTCGAAGACGTGGTAAGGCTTTATATGTAGAGTCCAGTAGCTCAGTTGCTGGAGCACTCACCTCGCAAGCGAGAGACCTGGGTTCAATTCCCGTGCAAGGTTAAACGTTGGGCAAGTTTCCTTACTCCACACGCGTCTGTTTACTTAGCAATAAGTGGGAACCCGGTGATTAGTTGATTGGCGGATCACTTTTCTGGGGGTAATAATTCTTTCTCAAAAAATAATAAATTGGTCACTAAATCCACAACGGTTTGTGGGACACTGCTGTGTGCAATTGGCTGCCCCGTTCCACCCAGAAAATATACAATCAAGCGGTATATTCTGTGAAGCGTTTTGATACACCCCGAAGACGTGAAAATGTGCGAAATCAAATGCAAGGATTATTATATTCTCAACTCACAGCAACAATCTGATCGAGATTCAGAACTTTATTGGAAGTGTTCTATGCTTGCTCAACGATATTTCTCCCTCCTCTCATTCAATGCCCATCTCAAGACCTCTGACAGCTCAGCTTTCCTTCCCCAGCTCAGGGGCCCAGCTAGCAGCTTTGAGACGTCCTCTTGCCGTGAAAGGCATTGTATTTGTGTAAATTATATCATAGATTACTCTACATTGCTGGAATAAGAGGCGGAGATTTTGGATAATGTAGTGAAATGGGAGCACATTCCACACGTTGCATCTCAGACCGCTTTGCCAGTCACACAGCATTGATCTGCACACTGGAGCCACCTGCTGCAACAACAATGTTGCTGCAATAAATACTGTACAGTGCTTTCATCCCACTTGATATTTCGTAGCCCCTTATCACGTTGTCGAGACATCTCAAAGCACTTTGCAAGGTTTTAAGTGCTCTGAGACGCCGTCCGGCGTGGAGGGCGCTATATAAATCCAAGTTGTTGTTTTACTGTGAAGTATAGTAACTTTGCATTGGTAGGCAAATGTGACAGCCAATTTGAATACAGCAACGAACCACAAATAGCCTTGAATTGAACAACCAATTTTATTTGGGAGATTGTCGGCCAGGACTCTGGCAGCAACTCCCGATCTCAGACAGCGTCGTGATAATGAGCTGCACAAAGGCACTGGTACCACATTAAGTTGCAGAGCGATGCAGCACAGAAACAGGCAATCGGCCCAAACAGTCCATGCCGGTGTTTATACTGCATCTGAACCCCCACCTTCCCTATTCCCCTCTCTCTATCCCCTTTATTCCCATCTCCCTTATATGAGAGTCTCTAGCAAGAGATCACTTGTTATTTACTGACCAGCAGGCAGCTTTGCCAGTGCCCTCAATGACAACCTGCACAGTATTAGCTGGTTACCTCAACGTTGGGGTCCTAAACTCTTAGGATTAGGTGGAAAGGGTGTGATCCTGTGGGGAGAGAGAGTACGCAATGTATGCCAGATAACAGATGCCACACATATGTGGAGCTCTTAACCAGTGTGTGTGTGTGTGTGTGTGCGTGAGAGAAGTACCCAACTGATCAAAAATATAACAAAGATGGCTGAATCTCACTGGGGATAAGACCCGGGGTGGGGGGTGGGGGGAGATTGCAAAGACTGGAACTGTGTTTTCAAGATGGAAGGATTTTGTCCTCTTGAAGAATTAATAATAATCCTCATGTTTAATATACTGCCTTATCGCCATTGAGATAAGCTCTCGGGGGAGGTGGTGAGAAGGAGAGATCAGAGCAGAAAGGAAATCAGCCTGAGGGAAAGGAAAAGTGAACTCTGAATATCGCAACCCCCCCCACCCCCAGGTTTCCAGCAAATCCGTTCCTTCCGTTAAGACCAGACGCTTCTCTGTGAACTGAAAAGCACCTGTGCCAGGGCTCATACAGCTCACAGCTTTTATTTATACTCATATCAAACAAACAGCATCTCTGAGGTCAAACACATGCTGTTGGGGAATAAATCAATGCACAGGGGCATCATGCCCGTGTTAATACAATCAGTGTCGGTCACAGTGACTAATCAGTCGTGTATTTGATGCAGAGCTTTTAACAACAATTAACAACAGATTGCTGTAATCAGCGCACTGAGCACAGGGCAGCGACGCGCAGCCCTGACATTTCCATGTCCTGAGCTTTGCTCCCCTGATCCCAGCCTCTGCCTGACAGCAGTGACACCCAACACTGAACATGTCACAATGTGAAGACTCCCAGCTCGGTGTCTCTTAAAAGTCTTTTTAAGATGAACGTTACTTGCATCTGTTTAAGTTTCATCAAATCTCCAAAACGTGTGAGCAGCTGACCATGTCTCCTGGAGCCCTGGGGGCAGGAGCCCTGGGACTGAGGGGGGTGGGGGCCGCACGGTCAAGGCTCTGCTCTGCTTGGAACACCAAGCTGGTCTCTCCCGGTGGCCAGAGCCGCTGCAGGACTAAGCTTCCCCACCGCCCAGGGTCAGGACCACGGATTTCACCACACTGAGAAAGGCCTCGAGCATTGCCTCCCCCTCCGTGTCCTGCTTCACGGTGACCCTCAGGCCTTCCTCCTCCTTCTCGTCCCCTCCCAGCCACAGCTCAGCCAGCAGCAGCGAGCCTGCCCGCTCCCTGCCGTACACATAGGCCTTCCATGGCTGGGCCCCGGGGCAGCTGACAGCGATGGTCTGCAGGTGGAAGCGGTAAAAGGCCTCCTGCACCGTGTGTGGCTCCGGGGCCCCAGCCCAGGGAACAGTCACCCCTCGCACCCTTGCTGCCTGGCTCCACGTCTCCTCGAAGCTCCTCGGGGACAGATGGACCCCGGGAACCAGGCACATGACCCCCGGCCCCAGGGCAACCACTCCGGGACCTGAGCAGAGAGCACATTACGACCATTACTACAACAACATGCATTTACACAGCGACTTTCACGCGGGGCAGTGTCGCAGAGCATTTAACAGTGGGGGAGCCTGACGCCGAACCAGGGGGAGGTGACTGTCAGCATGGACGAGGTGGAAGGTCCTAACACCCTCTGCCCCCCACCCCCATCCCACCCCCCACCTATCTGACTGTGGCTTCAATCACCACCCTCCTACCCCCAGCTGTCTCCTGGGATAACCGCCTGCAGGAATAACAGGGCCAGGAATTGGATTCTTGCTGACAATCACAGCTTGCCAGTCCCGTCAGTGTGCGTCCACCTCCCGCCCACATGTGGGAACCCAGACTCCAACTAGAGCCTCTGGGATGGAATGCGCACTCTCCCCCTAGCGATGCAACAAAAACAACAATAAAATTACATTTATAGAGCGCCCTTTACGTCGGGAGGACGTCCCAAGGCACTGGACAGTCAGGGGGGAGGGGTATTGTAGGAGTGAGGGAACGCAGAGAGGTGTGACCGAAGGCACGATCGAAGAGAAGGGTCTTGAGACCGGCCTTGAAGGAGGCGAGGGAGGAAGCGAGGCGAAGGGACTGTGGGTTGGAGTTCCAGAGTGTGGGGCAGAGGGTCTGAAAGCCCGGCCACCGATGGTGGGCGGGTTGGGCGGGAGACATGGAGCAGACCGGAGCCTGCTGAACGGAGGGAGAGGGAAGGTTAGTAGGGAGTCAGCAGGTCAGAGAGGTAGGAGAGGGCGAGGCCATGGATGGCCTTGAAAGTGAGGACGAGGATCTTGAATTTGATCCTCTGGGGGATGGGGAGCCAGTGGAGTCGGGCGAGGATGGGAGTGATGGGGTCGCGGAGCCTGGTGCGTGAGAGTACATGAGCTGCAGAGTTTTGGATGATCTGCAGCTTGTGAAGGAAAGGGTTGGGAAGGCCGATGAGGAGGCAGCCTGCTTACCTAATGCCAGAAAGTATTAGGCGAAGGTTGGTGAGACCCAAGACTTGGGGACCCCAGAGAGTGCAGTGGGGTAACTGCTGGAATCTAACCAGCTAAAACCACATAGCTTGCCATTGAGAGCACTGTCTGGCAAGCTTTCCCACTGCTTGTCTAGCTAGGACTACCCTGGCCATTAGGAATACGGCTTGCAGCGTTAACAGTAGCTGAGTGGTAGAATTCCCTTCCCCTCTGTGACTGGTCTACCCTTCCAGGTCTTGCTGATAAGCCAGGAACCAGAATAGAGACTGCCATAGCGGGTGGATTGATCATTTCATTGGCAAACTAGCTCAGCCCCAAGAAGATCTCGCTTACCCCCACCAGATGGCGAGCGAACGTGCGTCTCTCTCTCACCCGTCTCCTGTACTGCAGGCGCCAGTGCCTCCGGTATGGTTAGAGACTCTGCATTCTCGGCTGTGAGCCGCGCCCACCGCGCTCTCCCATAGACTGGGATCAGGGTATTGAAGTCCTGCGCCCAGACATGCACTGCTTCGCTGGCCTGGCTGCTGATCACCCCCAGCGCTGGGTCAGACTCGGGGCCACAGACAACTCGCTTTGCCTCCTCGGCTCCTTGTAGCAGCAGCCTGTAATAGAAGAGGCCACGGTCCCGCACAGCCATGTCCAGTTCCTCCTCTGTCAGGCAAACAGTAGGCAGCTCACAACAACAGAAACAACGACAACAGCAAAAATAACTTTCACTTATATAGCGTTCTCCACGAGGGAAGCGTCTCAGAGTGCTTAACAATGGCGGGGTGTGACTCCGAGCCAGGGAGGGGGGAGGAAGGTTTTCAGGCGAGACTTGAAAAAGGGATGAGGGGGGGCAAAGAGGAGGGATTGAGGGAGAGTGTTCCTGAGTTTTGGGGCGTAGTCGATTGAGGCCTCGCTCCAGACGTCGATTTAAGCCTCAGTCCAGGTGTCGCGCGTGTGAAGTCGTCTTGGACCCCATTCCAGGCTTCCGCCGCGGGAGGCCTCGGACCAACGAACTCCTGCCCTCCCCCACTCAGCTCCAATGGGTCTCTGATTGAGCCCACTCGTCAGGATGGCAGAAAACAGGATTTTCCCCCCTGTTTTTGCAATCCAGCCTCCAGCCCAAATAGATCAAACAGGTAAGTTAGAAGAAATTTCTTCACACAGAGAGTAGTGGGAATATGGAACACGTTACCACAGGAGTTGTTGAGGCAAATAGCATGGATGTATTTAAGGGAAAGCTCGAAAGGTACATGAGGGAGAAAGAAATAGAAGGTTATGCTTGAAGGCTTAGTTGAGGAAGGGCAGGAGACTAGTGGAGCATAAACACTGGCACAGACCAATTGGGCTGAATGGCCTGTTCTGTGCTGTATATTCTAATGTATTCTAATGGATATCAAATGCAGGGACTATTATTATTAAACAGCCACATAGAGAACACCCACCTATAGTGTAGCACAGCAGCCGGCCCAGTGTGTCCTGACACTCTGCCGGGCGGCTCAGGAACAGCCTCACCATCGCCGTGAGGAGCTCGAGCTTCACGCCTGCGCAGTTCTCCGTCCTCACAGCCTCACCATCTCCTCCAGAATGTAGGGGGTGTTGGCCATCTGCTCTCCGTGCATTCCCAGCAGCCAGATCAGCGCCTGCTTCCCCTGCTCGTGAAAACGGGAAGAGAGGTTAGAAGACAGCAGTTACCTGCAAAGGTCTTACTTAAAGCCCCCTCCTTAGCCTCCTTCAAGTCCAACCGCAAGACCCTCCTCTTCGACCATGCTCGGGTCTGAAATGCTGTACTCTGTCCAGGGCCTTGGGACATCCCCCACTACGTGAAAGGCGCTATACAAATGTTGTTGTTGTTGTTGTTGTTGTAAAGAGGATTTATTTACCCGCTCAGAAGGAGCCCCACCCAAGCCCCATCCACCCCCACCACCTCACCCACCCTCTCCCCTCCTCTGACTGACTTCGTTGCTTTGGACGCTCTCCTCACAGCCGGGCAGAGCCTGACACACGGCCGGGATGCACTGAGGGCAGAGCCACACGAGATCCCTGAAGGTCTGAACCACAGCTAGACAGAGACAGAGAGAGACAATCAACTTCATAACAATAATACTATTCCTTTTATTTGATATAGCGCCTTATTGCGTCATTTAGACGTCTCAAAGCGCTTCATAGAAGCGTAAAGTGAACTGTAAAGGGCAGTGACTGTATTTTGTGGGCGATATGCAGCAGCGAATTGCGCACGGCAGTGCGTGGACTGAGTGATGACCACATTATTTTTGCGGGGTGGGGGGAGGGATGATTATCCCTGGAAACCAATCCGCTAATCGGCTAACGAGCGGGTTCCAATGAATTGCTAGGTAAACGGAGGCGTTATTTCAGCATTCGCAAGCTGAACAAAAGTGAGCTAAAACTGAAGGGAAAGCGTGAAGCAACAACCACCACCATCGCCACTTGCTGAGCGCTCCGAGATGCTGCCCCACGGTTGTTGTTAAGACGGTGTGCTGTACCTGACGTGATGTGCTCCTGTTTGAGTGCAAGCAGCCCGGTCAAAATATCCACACATTTCTCACTGTAAGTCCGGGCGATTCGACCTTAAAATACATCAGAAATTCTGAGCTGAGGCTCTAGGAGACACCATGGTTCCATTTCCCACACTCCCACCCTACCCCTAAAGCATTGGCTGCGGGTACAGCAGACCCTCGGGTCTATGCTCAGTAAGGTAACAATAACACCAGCAACACCATTCATGTCGCCCTTCACATCAAGAGGATGCCTCAAAGTGCCTCAGAGGTTTTATTGTGACGTTTAGCGACCGTTTATTCTGTAGGAAACGTAGCAGTCAATTTACGCACAGCAACGTCCCACAAATAGCCATGAATGTCCAGTTTTATCTGGGAGATTGTTGGCCAGGACACCGGGAGACACAAACTGCCTTTACTTTTCAAATAGTGCCGCGGGATCTTCACTGTCCACCTGAACAGGAACAGACGGTACTTTGGTTTAACATCTCATCTGAAGGATGGCATCTCCGATAACACAGCACTCCCCAAAGCCAGTACTGTATTGGAGTCTCAGCCTAAACTGTTGGCTCAAAGTTCCAAGATGGGGCTTCAACCCACAATCTTTTCACCCAGAGTTGAGAGCACTACTGGCTGAGCCAGGCTGACAATCGGATTTGAAGGTTGTGGGCTCAAGCTCCAGATCTCTAGTTATTGGTGCAATATTGGCAGAGGTGCCACCTCCCCTGTGGGAGATAATAATCCTTGCATCTGAAATAGCGCCTTATCACGTCTTCGAGACGTCTCAAAATGCTTCACAGAATATACTATGAAGTGAATTGACTAGGTTTTGTGGGTGAAACGTGGCAGCCAATTGCACACAGCTGTGTCCCATAAACAGTCTTGGATTGAGTAACCAAATTATTATTTTAAAAAAAATTTGAAGACATTATTACCCCCGGAAAAGCGATCCGGCAATTGACTAACAAGCAAGTTGGCGGCCCTGCCCTCACCTATGTTGAGGATGGCCACCTGTGCGAGCTCCACTGAAACGTCGGTGCAGGAAGTCTGCAGCTCCTCCAGGATGTGCTGCACATTCTCGTCGTTCACCAGGTCGCACAGGATCTCCATCTTCTGGTACTTCACGTAGTTGGGATCCGAGTAGGTGAAGAAGAACTTCTTGTAGTGGGCGCTGAAGTGTCCGGGGAGGCTGCGGAGAACCTGCCGCACGTGGCACAGGCCCAGGAAGCACAGCTCAGGGCACTCGGCTGTGCAGGCTGTCAGCAGCGGCCCCCGGACCCTCTCCAGCACATCCCTCTGCACCGTGGGGAAGTCCTCGGCCAGCAGGAGGAAGAGCTTGGTGGTCGCCATAACCACGCTGGGATGGCTGCTCTTCAGGAAACTGTCCAGGATATTGAGAATGTCGAAGACTTCCTCCTCGCCTCGTGCCTTGTAGCGAACCAGGAAGCTCAGCACCTCACTCTGGCCCCAGGCATCCAGCTCCTTCATTCTTAGAACCAAACACATGAAAAGCTCAATGCCCACTGATCACGCTCCTTCTCTGAGGGAATTTAACAAATCAAAAGGCAATAAACTTGTCCAGACCGATCTGTCCACTCTCTCTGCTCAGCGGACTCTGATCTGCTCCACGTCACACACCAGGCCTGCCTCTTCATCGGCGGTCAGGCCTTCAGCCTTTCTGCTCCCACCTTTTGGAACTCCATCCCACAGTCCCTTCGTCTCATTCCCACCCTTTCCTCCTTCAAGGCCCATCTCAAGACCATCCTCTTTGACCGCTCCTTCGGTCACCCTCCTACCCCTATCCTGCATGCCCTCCACCCCTCCTGATCCTAACCCCCAGCTCGAGTCAAATCCTTGACTGTCCAGCACCTTGGGACGTCCTGACGATGTGAAAGGCGCTGTGTAAATGTAATCTGTTGTTGTTGCTGCTAATGGTGTTTGGAACATTGCGGGTTCTTGTGCCTGCTTTCCTCCCCTCCTCGGCTGATCTCCAATAGCACAATTCAGGATCTGCTTTGACAATACAGATGTACTGCGAAGGCAACAATCATCCTTACATTTCTTACAACATCCAAATCTCTCAAAACTCTCTACAGTAATTGCTGTAAAGTTGTGACTGCGTATTTGTAGGCAAATGTGGTGGTCAATTTGCACAAGGCAATGTCCCCAAAAATGACCTATCATGAAGTGAATGACCAATTTTATTGTTAGTCAGGACACAGGGAGAGAGAAACTCCCTTCTCTTTCACAATAGTGTTGGGGCTTCCTTAGGATTCACCTGAACAGCCACAGATGGGACCTTAGCTTAAAAATCACATCCAAAGCATTGCACTGCTGACAACACAGCCCCACCCCACTGTGCCCGAGCATAACCCTAGAATGTGAGATCAAAGTGTTGATGTGGGGCATGAACCCACAAGTTCCCGACTCCGAGGCAAGAGCACGACTGACCGACTGCCCAGACTGATACCTAAACATAGCTATTGACTGGCTGTGGAGAGATATCACAAGTTGACATTAACCGACAGACCTGTTTAGCAGGTGATGTGCGATGGGCTTATTGATGACCATTCCCCCCTCGTGTTTGAGGATCTCCTCCAGCGCTCGCAGGCAGTTCACAATGACGATGGGGTCCGGGTCCCGCAGCATACTGTACAGCTCATTCACCACAGCACCATCTGGGGAGCAACACACAAACTGCAACAAACTTTCCCAGTGAAGCCGATCAACAATAATAATATGATTCTTGCACTTCAGACAGCGCCTCATCACGTCTTCGAGACGTCTCAAATTGCTTCACAGAATATACTGTAAAGTGAATTGACCGGGTTTTTTGTGGGCAAAACGTGGCAGCCAATTGCGCACAGCAATGTCCCCACAGTGGTGGATTAAGTGACCAAATTATTATTAATTTTTTTGAAGGCATTATTACCACCAGAAAAGCGATCTAGCAATTGACTAACAATCGGGTTCCTACTTACTACTAGGCAAACAGAGGGGTGTGAAGTAAGGAAACTTGCCCAACGTTTCGCCCTGCCTGGGAATCAAACCCAGGTCCTCTCGCTTGCGAGGCAAGTGCTCTAACCATTAAGCTACAGGACTCCATGCAGCAATGGACAATACGCTCACTGTGCTGCGCCCCAGGGTTGGTTTCCGCTTCTGAACATTGCTCTCTGCACCACCTTCTCTGGTCCTAGCATTCAATGAAGCGCCTATAATACCAAAACATCTCAAAGTGCTTCACTGAGAGAACTGCTATCGCGTGTATTAACTGTGTATTTCACAAGAACGGTTGGATGAAGAAGGCCCCTCGGCCCATCCAATCACTTCCTTGGGGGGGGGGGGGGGGGGGCGGTCAACCGTGTGTTTGACCCATGCGGAAACCTATCACCATGCTTAAGAGTATCCAAACCAAGCTGAGAATTCCATGCATTCACCTACACATGCAAATCCCAGAGATACCCTGATAATAATCCCTCAAGAAAAAAATAATGATTTTGTCACTCAATCCATGACTGTTTGTGGGACACTGCTGTGCGCAATTGGCTGCCGGGTATCATCCACAAAATACACAGTCAATCTACAGTATATTCTGTGAAGCGCTTTGAGATGTCTGAAAGACGTGAAAAGCACTATATCAAATGCAAGAATTATTATTATAGATTGTTGGAATGGAATGCACACTCTCTCCCTGGAGCGACACATCCTGCTTACCTAATTCCAGAGAGCATTAGGTACAGGTTGACTTGAGAGCCAAGGCTTAGGGACCCCAAAGTTTGGTCAATTTCTCATTAGAGAAAAAGCTGCCTCAGTATTTACCCACATCGGCGTCCCTCTGGAGAGTCAGCATTTTGGCGCATCCGAGGACAGCTACTCGACGAACGTAGGAGGCTTTGTCCCTCAGCCCACTCCGCACTGGCTGCTGAACGTACTCGCAAACACCAGGCATCCTAAACACAACACAAGGTCACTCAGTCTGGATCTCCATCATCACTCCACTGAATAGTGACTCACCTCCTCCTGGGGGCGGGGGGAGCAGGCGGTGACGGGTATTAAGGGATACGGGGCAAGGGTGGGTAATTGAATTTGAGGTACTGATCAGCCATGATCTTATAGAATGGCGGAACAGGCTCCAGGGCTGAATGGCCTATTCCTGTTTTTATGTTTGTAAGTGTACTTTTAATCAAAACTGATAGCCAAGATGTACACAAGGTCCAAAAAATTGTGAATGAATTAACTGAGGCTTTTGTTCATGCCTCAGTTCCCAGCTTTATCTGATCGTCCGCTTTCTCTTAAAGGGGTCAACTCTTTTCGGAGTACGTCTCGAGCAATGCACTGGAACGTCAGCCCAGACTGAGAAGATATTAGGCCAACGAGTAGCTGTCGCGATGATTGCTGAGAGCATCAGTAGATTGTGTGCTGTAACAGAGGGGTGAAGGCAAACCACAAAAGTCATGTTTCATTAGAATAAAATGCTGACTAATCCTTTTATTCCAAACTCCCTGAAATCCTTCAGGAATGTCCCCTTCCCACCACCTCCCAAAGACCCCCGCTGTAAAACACTAATAACAAACCTGAGGCTGCACATGCTCCTCAACGCCAAGCCCCTGACCATGGGGTTGGAGTCTGCACAATCCTTGCGGAGGGTGTTGATGGCAAGAAGGGCCAGATCGGGTTTGAGGGCTGCATACGTGCACATATACAAATAGACCAGCTTCTTCTGGACAATGTCCACCGTGGCGCTGGCCTTCACCATCTCCATGAAGAGCCCGGAGACATCCAGGCCCTGAGTCATGAACCTGATCACCTTTAGAACCACGTTCCTGTACCTCAGTCTGTCCGCCTGCAGGTGTGGGTTGGCCAGGGCCCTCTTCAGCTCCTTCACCGTGTCCTCAGAGCCATAGTAAGGCATCTGTCCAGACAACCAGTGCTTTGGCGCTTCACACCAAACACACAACAGATCACAAATTCTCAACACAATTATTATCGGAGCCTCTTACATCTGCTTCATCTGAAGGGACAGCCAACAAGACGTTCATTTACAGACAGTCCGACTAAGATAATAACAACAACAATAATCTCAGTCACTCGATCCACGGCTGTTTGTGAGACGCTGTGGGGCTGCCCCGTCTCACCCACAGATAAACAGTCACTACACTTTACTGTATATGCTGTGAAGCACTTTGAAGATGTGAGAGGGCGCTGTATCGAATGCCAGGATTGTTGTTACATAGTACACACACACACACAGATATATAAACATAAATAAGATGATTAAAGACACGGCCACTAAGTTGGTTACAAACACAATCAGAGCCGCGGCTCCGGGCACTGCAGGGCGGGGCCGGCACCCCGCAGGGCGGCGGCTCCTCATTGGCCGACACCAGTAACACCGACAGCCATTGGGCAGCTGCACAAAAGGAACAAGGACTCAAAATGAGCGCGGAGTGTCCCGGCGCCTCAGTGCGGAGCTGCTGCCCCCTCTGGCCACACACTGACACTGCACCGCCAGCCTCCACAGCCCAACACCACACTCAATAACAACAACTTGCACTGATGCAGCGCCCCCCACCCAGGGTGGCGTCTCAGAGCGCTTCAAAGCACTGATAATAACCCTTGCATTTGAAATAGCGCCTTATCGTGTCTTTTGAGACGTCCCAAAGCGCTTCACAGAATATACCGAAAAGTGAATTGGCTGTTTTGTGAGCGAAACGCGGCAGCCAATTGCTCACAGCAGTGTCCCACGATCAGTCACAGATTGAGTGACCAAATTATTCATTATTTATTTTTTGAAGGGGTTATTACCCCCAGAAAAGCGATCCGCCAATTGATTAACAACTGGATTCCTACTTACTGCGAGGTAAACAGAGGCGTGTGAAACAAGGAACCTTGCCTAACGTATCGTCCTGCCCGGGAATCAAACCCAGGTCCTCTCGCTTGCAAGATGAGTGCTTTAACCACTAAATTACAGGATTCCACTTACGCCCCAGACAGTACCTCACACCCCAGCACTGTATCTCATGGTCTTAAACCGCATTGCAAAGATTACAAGGGAGCCTAAGCCAGGAGGGAGCTGGGGAGGTGGCTGAAAGAGGTACAACAACAACAATTTGGATTTATATAGCGCCCTCCACACCGGATGGTGTCTCAGAGCGCTTCACAGTAACAGATCCCGGGGCTGAGCCAGGGTGAGGGGGCGGAAGGTGACCAAAGGTGCGGTCGAAAAGATCTTCAGCCGAGACCTGAAAATAGGAAGAGGGGACGAGGCGAAGGGAATTCCAGGTAGGTCTTCAGATGTTCATGTGGGTTAGGGAAAGCAGAGATACAACAACAATTTGCATTTATAGCATTTGTGTAAGAGGCAAAGTGTAAGAATTTAGAGGGAGACAATTCAACAACAACAAAATTTCATTTATAGAGCGCCTTTCACGTCAGGAGGACGTCCCAAGGTGCTGTACAGTTGGGTCAGGACCCGAGCAGGGGGGAAATGGTCAGGGTGAGGGGAGGGAAGGGAGGGAGCGAGGAGGGGGTAGAGAGTCGAGAGGGGAGCTGAAGGCACGGTCAAAGAGGGAGGTCTTGAGACCGGCCTTGAAGGAAGAAAGGGAGGAGGCGGCGAAGGCACTGGGGGATGGAGTTCCAGAGCCTCGGGGCTGAGAGGCTGAAGGCCCGGCCACCTATGGTAGGGCGGTTGGGGCGGGGGATGTGGAGCAGACCGGAGCCAGAGGAACGGAGGGTACGGGCAGGTAAGTAGGGGGATAGTAGGTCGGAGAGGTAGGAGGGAGTGAGGCCGTGAATGGCCTTGTAGGTGAGGATGAGGATTTTGAATTCGATCCTCTGGGGATAGGGAGCCAGTGGAGGCGAGCAAGGGTGGGAGTGATGTGGGCGCAAACACGAGCTGCGGAGTTCTGAATGACCTGCAGTGTGGAGGGAGGTGCCTGGAAGGCCGGCGAAGAGAGAGTCCAGCCTTGAGGTGATAAAGGCGTTGACCAGAGTTTCCGCAGCGTGAGGGGTGAGGTAGTGCCGTAGTCTGGCGATGTTTCGGAGGTAATGGAAGGCGGTGCCGGTTGTGGCGCGGATATGAGGAAGAAAGGACAGCTCAGGGTCGAACAGAACCCCGAGGTTCCTGACTGGCTTTGAGAGGTGGAGAGTGCAGCCTTGGATGCTGATGCTGTCAGCGCCTGAGGTGCGGAGACGTGAGCCAATCAGGAGGGCCTCAGTTTTGCGCACGTTGAGCTGAAGAAAGTTGTCTCTCGTCCAGGGGAAAGGTGCAAAGATGGCTGAAGATTTGCCAACCGATGGTGGAGCACAGGGCGGAGAGCAGGCTGAGGGGAGGGAGATATGGTGGTGCGAGGTCAAGGAGACATTTGAAAGGCAAGGATGAGGATCTTAACATTGTTTTCCTAAGGTAAGAGATCCCAAACAGAGGGCTGTGGACCCCGCAAGATTGTATCGGGGACTGCGGAGTTGGGAGACACACTGGAAGTGCAAAAGCTACGGAAGCCTAGTGAGACTGGAAGCCCTTAGAGCAGTTGTAAAAGGCATGTTCTCATGGTTTCAAGGCAAGGTATTCCAGGTCTGCTTTTTGTGAGGGGGCTCAGTCAGGAATAATGTCCTAGGGTTGGGGGGTGAGTCTTGAGCCCAGAAAGTTTGGGAACCTCTAACAAAGTGCTAGGGGGTTAGGCAAGGAAAATAATCCATATATATGACATACGGCAGGAGAGGATGCAAGCTACGGGGATGGCCTGAGGTTTACAGAGGGCAAAGCTGGGGAAGCGTAGATCAGGCAAGGTCATCAGATTACAGAAATAAACCATGCACTCCTTTGTTGGCTGAATGAGTAACAGAGCTATCCAGATCAGCATAGCCCACAAAATAGCCAATTCACCTTACAGTATATTCTGTGAAGCAAGAACTTTGAGACATCTCAGCAACGTGATAAGGCGCTATAGCAAATTCAAGGATTATTTTCATTATTGTGGTATTTCAGACTGAATTGTGTTGTGTGCTTAATTAGCTGATCTCAGTTGTGCCTTTTTAGAGAAACTGGCGAGACAGTCACCTCATGTCCAATTGCTCGGCAGCAAGACAACAGCTCAGCACCAAAATGGAACATTCAACCTCTTCCCACGAAGTTGGCTGTTCCCTTCATGGCCATTTTGGGACATTGCCATGTGCAAATTTGCCTATAACTACGGTCACTACACTGGTCATGGCTTACCTGTGAAGTTCATGGAGATGTTTTGATTTAAGGCATAATATCAAGTGTCAGAATTATTAGTTTTAGCTGATGCTCCAGTGCGGGCCTGATTCAGCGGGGCTGTCCAAATCCTTGAATGTCCAACCCCTTGGGATGTTCTCCCAATGTGAAAACGTAATTTGTTGTTGCTGTCCTATGTAAAAGACAGTAAATCGAGATCTTGTAGCCTGTTCTTCAGATGGACGTTAAAGATCCCATGACACTGTTGGGAAGAGAAGGGAGTTTCACCCCGTGACCTCAGTTTCAAGTCTCATCTGAAGGACCTCCTAGAGTATTTTACTAGGTTGTAAGCCTAAACTGTGAGCTCAAAGTCCTGACATCACTATCAGACGAAAGAGCAAATGGACGACAGACACATTGTATAATCTTCATAATTAGTTTAATCTAAAGCACGATGGGTTACCGATCCCATGGAACTGTACCCAGAAAAATCACCATTTTGAGGAGAGGCAAGAGAAAATTGGTGAGATAGGAAAAGGAAGCAAAACGGTTACAACACCTTTGCTCAGAGATTCTCCCGTCCTTCCCTGGCAGTGGTGGAAATAGTACAGCAATAACTCAAACTGTCAAACGTAACATTCACCCAAACTACACAGACAATGATTCGATTCCATAAACTATTGAATAGGCATTGGATAAATCACGTTTTGTTTATGAATCCTTAATCTGGAGCTCATGGAAGTAGAAATCTTCTGTATTTATTGAAATCAAAGGCATAGGTTTTTCATTCCAAACGTAAAAGGGAAACCTTGTTAATAATGCAGTTGGTTGAGTCCCATGTCTAATCTTATAAGAAAGATGGGAGAAAAATGGCCAACTTCTGGGTCGTCAGGTCACTGCTGAAGTCACTTCCCCCTCGCTTCACACACGTGCTCATCAGCAGTGATCAGGAACTGCTCGATTAGGGTCTTTATCTCTATATTAAAAGCAAGTTACAACTGAGTCGCCGTTCCTCTGAAAATCAAAGTTTGTCTTAGAAGTAAAGTTCCTTTCCTCACAAAAACCTCTAAACATGGGCCTGTGCTTAAGATTTGGGTCCCTTTGCACGAGTAAATACTGTGCATTTCCAATGTTCAGACGATTAAACACGTGAACAGAAACAAACGGTCCCTTCTCAATGCCCCAGGTCCAAGTAGTTAGGGGAAAAAAAACACACACTGAAGGTGGACCTGGCACCTTTACATTACAGTTATTGAAGACTCTAATCGTAATAGTGGCTTATACATGCTTTATGCCTCTTCTTAAAGTACTGCTCAACAATTGCATCAAAAGCCTGCAGACTGGCACAGCACCGAGCACTGACTGCCATCCCATTCGTCATGCTGTGCTTTCTCTTTCTTGTCCTCTTAACATGTGCTGAGGAACTGGAGCTACTCGCTCTCTCCAAGCTGTCTTGCACATCGGAGGACGAGGATGAAAGGTTGCCGTTTGAAGAGCGTGATGTGTTTGCGTTGGAAGCCAGATCCAAGTGGATTCCAGAGGGCAAAGAGCTGCTGCTCACAGCTGGTCGTGTACATTCCTCACCACCCCAGACATCTAACAGTGATGCCTGCCTTGCTTTCACATGAATGGGCATCACCTTCACGGGTGAGGGTGCTTCGGCTCTCTCAAACATGGCTAAAGGTATTCTGAATTTTCTTTTAAGAAAGTTAAGTGCACTGTCAACAGTATTGGCCTTAGACATTGACTGCGGACTAAAATCCTCCGCCATTATATCGTCGCAACTCTCAAGGCTATTCTCTGATTCACTCGGATTGCTGGCTCCATTGCAATCTGGTCGTCCTTCCTCTGGTGCTTTCTTTGAATCCGGTGAGTCAAACACCACACCCCTGGAAATATTGAGACTCCTCAACCTCGAGTTCACCTGACGCAATGGTACTTGCTGGCACCCTGTGTCCTGCTGCATAAACCTTTCCACACTTTCTGGAACTTTGAAGCGTTGTGACTCGTCACGCGGGCTAAGGTGGTGACGAAAGTAGCTCTCGCAGCCCATCCCTCTGACAACAGGGATAAGAGAGCAAGGCCTCAGCCTGGATACAAATTCTTGTAGTTCTTCAAACGAGGAGTGATCAGAGTAGCAAACCACATGGATATCCGGGTGGAAAACCTTATGCTTTCGGCTCGTGGGTAAGATGGCTTTCGTAGGATGTTCCCGATTCCATCGGATCATGTTGTAGCTGTTAATCTTACTCTGTTCTACCACTCGGATTCTTCCCGCTCCCTCCTCCGATGTGAAGACATTAGGCAGCCCTAACAACTGGAACATCTCAAGTCTCTGCGGACTGACCACAATCCATGTTTTAAAGGCCAGTGCGAGTTCTGTTAATAAGGACTCCTTGCCCAAACAATACAAACCTGTAATGAGACACAGAACATCACAAAAAGTCCATCAAAAATTCCTCTGAGGTTTCCACAACTTTTCCTTTAAAAGCACACAACTTGAATTTTTACTTTAAAAGTAAAAGTTTGAGTATTTTTAATGTTCGTAAAGGGGAAGGTTAGCGCTGAGAAAGCGTTGACTTAAAACGCAAAGAAAATGATTCAACTTGGTGTCCATTAGGCACGCATAGTTTAGATATAGAGAAGATAAATGCAGACTAAAGCACCTATCAAAGTACCTCAAACACAGACCCACTGGGTGACGGTTTAGATTTTTACTCCAGGTACCGTGAACACATCTTCTTGGTGAAACTGTCAAGCTAATCAAATTGCTGCTAAGCTGTTACAGTTATACATCACATTGAGGCTTCTCCAGCTAGTAGAGAAGAGGCGTTCACCTGATCCAAACAACATGTAAACCTATCTCACTGATCAATAGTGTTATATTCTCCTTCCTGCTTCTTATCACCTCTGTAAAGCATATCAAGACATTCATCCTACACGAAGAGCATTATATAAATGCATCATAGGAAATTTGGAACAGGAGACAGACATCGAGCACCCTCTGCCATATCAATTCATGGCCAATACACGACACCGTCCCATAATTTTTTTTACTCCTCAAGCATCTGTGTCTCTCAAATTCCTCAACTGATTTCTCATCTCTGGTTTTCTGGGGTTGTGCCACCTTTGTGAAAAGGAATATTTCCTCTTTTCAGTCCTAACATCGAGTCCTGTAGCTCAATGATTAGAGCGCTCACTTCGGAAGCGAGAACCTGGTTTTGATTACCAGCAGGGTGAAATATTGGGAAAGTTTCCTTACTCCACACGCCTGTTTACAGCAGTAGGTAGGAACACGGTTGTTAGTTGATTGGCAGATTGCTTTTCTGGAGGAAATAATCCTTTCAAAAAAAATATTTTAATAATAATTTGGTCACTCAATCTACAACTGTTTGTGGGACACTGCTGTGCTGGGTTTGGCCCACAAAATATACAGTCTAATCATTTTACAGTATATTCTGTGAAGAGCTTTGAGACGTCTTGAAGATATAAGCGACTTTATCAAATGCAAGGATTATTATTATTGAGTGGTTTCCTTGGCTCTTCATTTAATTTCCCAGATAAATCAAGGTGAGAATTTAATAAGCTGTTGCAGAGCTATATCAGTAGATAGGTCAGGACATAAAATTCAATACACATTGTACTTTGGGACTAAAACCTCCCAGTGTACTGTGTTCAGTTCTGATCGCCATATTACCTGAAGGATATTGAAGCACTGGAGAGAGTACAGCGAAGATTTTCAAGGCCATTACCAGGAATGAGTGGATACAGTTAGCTATCAAGGAAGATTGAATGGGTTGCAGCTCCTCCCACCCCCACCCCAGCATTCCGAGGTGCTACACCTTGTGAAGTACGCTATATAAATGCAAGCTGTTGTTCTCTGTCTGGAATTGAGATGATTGAGAGGGGATCTAATAGAGGGTAAGATTATGAAAGGTGGACATTAATAAGCTGTTTCCACTTGTTGATGAGTACAAAACAAGAGGGCATAAATAGAAACTACCCAGTAAAAGATCTAATAGTGAGTTTAGGAGGAACTTCTTCATGCAAAATATCTCAAAGCACCTTTCGGAAGATATAATGGGTTTGAAATAAAGTGAATTACACAGACCAACATGGCAGCTAATTGTCACCATCAATATCACACAAACAAGAGCAGCCAATAAAAGTGAAGGTGGAGGTTAAAAAAACACAGCTCCTACACATATGTGGAAAGACAGTAGCACCACTTCCAGCAGCAAGAGAATGATTGAGAGTTCTACAGATCAATGCTGCTCTTACCGATTACTATATCATGCTCAGGGTAACTCCCAATAATGCCTTTGATCTGTTCAGCAGCATCCTGACGCGCAAGTACTGTAACCTCTGGATCGCAGTTTGTGTTGTCGAGATACAAGATGTCAATCCTTTGCTCTCGATTCAATGGTGGCTGCTCAAACATGACTGGCGTGTATCGGAAATCAGCTGTAAAATAATCAGAGTAGCTCAACGAACTTCCAGGTCAGCTTTCCGTCAATGCGCCGTATCACTCGCAAGTTTGAATCTTGAAAGGTTTGTGCAGCATGATCAGAAATCACCACAAACAGCAGCAGCAAATTGCATTTATATAGCAATTATACTATATAAATCAGGAGGACTCCCAAGACGTTGGATGGAAAATGTTATGAAATGTTACCATAAAATGGCATCAAGCTGAATCTTGGAATCAAGCTGAATAGTAGAAAGATAATTTAAAAACATTGCAGTTTATGGGGAAAGGGAGAAAATTGCTGAAAAATAGGATAAATGAAAAATGGGACTTAAAAAGCAGAGGTTGCAATGACACAGTCGAGATGGGCTGTAGCTGGTTAGACTCCAGCAGTTACCCCAACAAAGGTTCTGGGATCCCCAATTCTTGGCTCTTGCCAAACAACACTCAGTGCTTTCTGGAATTAAGGAGGCAGGATGTATCTCTCTGGGGAGTTCTCTTCTCTTTGACCGTGCCTTCAGCTCCCCTCTCGACTCTCTTCCCCCTCCTCGCTCCCTCCCTTCCCTCCCCTCACCCTGACCATTTCCCCGCTCCTCGCTCCCTCCCTTCCCTCCCCTCACCCTGACCATTTCCCCCCTCCTCGCTCCCTCCCTTCCCTCCCCATTTCCCCCCTGCTCGGGTCATGACCCAACTGTGCAGCGCCTTGGGACGTCCTCCTGACGTGAAAGGCGCTTTATAAATGGAATCTTGTTGTTGTTGAGTTAGTGCACATTCCATTCCAAACACAGAAATTTCACGTGAAGGTGAATGTAACTCAGTTTGGTTTGAATACAGTGATGAGTTTCAGCATGTGTCAGACACCCAAATGAACAAAAAACAAAAATAGTTGACATTGATTACTTGTGAAATGCTTTAAGACATTTTAACATTGTAGGCCTGGTATCAAATGCAAGGGTTATTACATAAAGAAATACGTGATTCAGTTGACATTGTTTCCAAAAAAAAAATATTCTCATACCTGTGTACAGGATCGTGCCAAAGTAACCCTGAAAGAGAAACATAGCAGAACCAGGACAGTGGTTAGCATCCATTAGTGTCACAGTCATAGTTTCTCTGCCAGCTTCATCAAGGTTTAACAGGTGACTCTCGTCCAATTCCAATGGGTGAATCCACATTTCATCCACCTAATGATGAGTAAAGGTAAAGTGATCTCATATGCAGTGTTGCACGAACCCTAAAACAATCAAACCATCCTTCCTCTCTGAGGATCGATGGCTTCTCAATGGAATCTATTCTAGAAACTCTTTTTGTCTCCATTCTTTTACTTCCTTTACAAGAAAATAATGTGCCGAACTAATAGAAATACTTCTCTTTACAGGTAAAGGAAACACACACCAGACACCTGAAAATCCACTTGGTCTTAGCCTGTAGCTTGTGGAGTCCTGTAGCCAGGATTACTGCTTCTGATTTCTACCCGTTTGTTGGTGTGGAGTCCTGTAGCTCAGTGGTTAGAGCACTCGCTTTGCAAGCGAGAGACCTGAGTTCAATTCCAGGCAGAGTGAAACCTTGGGCAAGTTTCCTTACTCCACACAGAGCCTAATAATAATCCCTCCAAAACAAAACACTAATAAAAAATTGGTAATTTTCAATCTACGACTGTTTGTGGGACATTGCTGTGCGCAATTGGCTGCCGCGTTCGCCCACAAATATACAGTCAATTCACTTTACAGTGTGTTCTGTGAAGCGCTTTGGGACGTCCTCCCGACGTGAAAAGCGCTATATCAAATGCAAGGATTATTATTATTATTATTATAAGATCACTCTTACTCAAATACAATATGGCACACAATAATGGAAAATTCCTCAATTTAAATTGGAAAAAAAGCTGGAAAGCAAGATTAAAAATAGAACTTAAAAAGCAGAGGTAGCAAGATGGCTGAACAACGTACACTGTGCCAAAATAATACATTAAAACCTGCACCCCCCCACTCAATCTAAACAGCTGTTGCAATGATTTACACAAATTCATATACCGCCCGGCTGGGAGAAGACCCCAACACTGTTCACTCATCACTTTGAGCACATGCTTAGCTTCACAGAGCTGCCACAACAGCAATTATAAACTGAGGTTGCACTTGTTTTTAAAGCTTTTGTTTAAAGTGATGTGAAGAGGGCCGTATAAGACAAAATGGTCTTAAGCCTAGGACAAGGTGGAATTTCAGGTGAGGTCAAGAAACAGACCTTGCTGAGCAGGCGTGCACAAAACTCTGTATACAAATTTTTCAATCATCTGTCACAATAACAAAGGAAGCCTGTATATAATTGGCCATAATAGCAGAGCCTATGGGTTAGGGAACATATTTAGATTGCACAGTACAAATAGATCAGTGCGCCGAAGTCAATATGTTCTACCTTGCAACTTGCAATAGATTTATTACGAGTAGTTAATGATATACATCATGTAATTCTAAAATATGGCTATGGCTATCATTGGAATTCACATTACCTGAATGCTTGCCTGATTTTGCAACAAACACCAATGCCTCATGACACTTCCTTATAACCATCCTCCTCTATCGGCTAATTTTTCTCATTCACTTCAGTACGTTCCTGGTTCAAATCCTACTTGACCCACTGTCACCATTTTGTCACCTCCAATGGTTTCTCCTCCCATCCTGGTGCAGTCACCTGCTGCATACCCAAGGCTCTATGCCCAGCCCCTTGTTTTTCTCAGTACATGTTCCCCTCTCTGTGATATCATCTGCAGACATGGTCGTCTTCCACATGTATGTGGATGAAACCAAATCTTTTCCTCCTCTTGCATGTTGCAAAAAATCTTACACCACCAGAATCACACAATATTTCCAGGATTTTGAAGGACTTTTCCCGCAACAGTGGCACGTTTCCACTTTTAATTCCACTGTACATTAAGAACCTGAAATAGACCCATTCACCATTTTACTAAAAATAGCTACAAAAAAACTAAAAATGTTGTGTGGAAACTTTTCTGATATTGGGGCAGATGACTCTGCAAAATCACAGGCAGTTTCTCTGTGTCTAACCTTGCTGTGTGCCCAATGCTGACACCAGGTGCTTAATATGGAATACTCTAGCAATAATCTCTCTTACTTTGAGAAATCCAAAACTTAAATATCTTAAATTAAGTAAATATCTGAAATTGTATCAAGAGTAGGAGAGCAGAGAAAGAGAAATTCTGAGCAACTAACTTCCTCAAATCCAACACCTTGTCCTGCACCACACACCTGCCCCCAGTGTATAATGGTAATGTAAAATGGTAAAGTGCCCCACTCATAACACGAATATCACTTAACTTGGATGAGCACAAAATTCAACTGAAATAAATATCTGAAATGATTGGTATGAGGACATGCCTGAAGTTTCCAGCGCAGCAGCTTGGCAGTTACTGGAGAACAGTAGATAGGCTTCTTCCAGGTGGATGATAATCCAGAAGTGTGGTCTGTGTGCATGTGCGACAAGAAAAACAACCGGATGTTGCTGCACTTCCGGATCTGCCAAAAGTCCACAGCGATTGGAGTGAACGGGATCACGGTTCCATTCATATTCGTCTAAACCAATTCAGCAGAATAAAACATTGGAACTCTTCATAAAAGGACTGAAGTATAATAATCCTTGCATTTGACAGCTGAAACCTTTATTCACACATTCAAAAACCTCCTGCATCAATTTTTCTGATGCCCTCCTCACCGGTGCACCCTGCTCCACCATTCATAAAATCCAATTAATTCAAAACTCTGCTACCCACACCTCACCCGTACTAAACTCCGCACCACCCATCATCCCAGGACTTGCCAGGCTCCACTGGCTCCCAATTGCAGAACAACAACAAATTACACTTGTACAGCACCCTTCATGTCAGAAAGACGTCCCAGGGTGTTGGACAGTCAGGGTTCTTTTTAGTTCTGAGCTGGAAGTTGGGGTCAGGAAGGGTGGAGGGCAGGGAGGGTGACTGAAGGCATGGTCGAAAGGAAGGTGTTTGGCACTTGAAGAACAATCAATTTCAAGATCCTCACACTGAAGTACAAATCACTTCATGCCCTGGCACCTCCCTACCTGCTTAGTCCCCACTCCTCTTCCAGCCCCTTTTGCTCAGCTGGCTCTGACCTCCTCCATGTTCCTAATCCCATCCATTCCGCCATTAGCAACCGTGCTTTGAGTCTCAAAGGTCTTGAACTCAGACTTTAGAGACCCTATCTCACCTTGAATGCGCAAATTTGCATGCAAATTCAAGTTGTTCAAACCACTTCACAGGGTATCCTGCAAAGTGATGTGACAATGTTCTGTGGGTGAATGTGGCAGTCAATTCTTGCACAGCAATGTTCCACGAAGAGCCATGAAGTTAGTGACCAATGTTATTTGGGGGTTTGTTAGCCAAGAATCTTCCTTCTCTTTTCAAATAGTGCCATGGGATCTTTAACCTCCACCTGAACAGATAGGACCTGTGTTTAATGTCTCATCTGAAGGATGACATCTACGACAATGCGACGCACTGTCAACACTGCATTAGTGCAGCATCTGAAGAGTATATGAATTCTAAGTCTCAATGAGGGGCTTTAACTCATAGCCTTCTGACTCAGAGGTGAGAGTGCTACTGACTGAGCAAGGCGGACACACATTCTTTACTGAAGGCTCTTTAGTTTTTTTTAAAAAACACCCAATTAGCATTCCTTGTTCCAAAAAAAAACACGGACTTGCCAACATACTACCGGGTACCGATTCGGTGAAGTTTTTTTGTTAAGCTGAGATCCGGTATGTGCACATTTCGGGCAATTCTGAAATTCAGCCGTGAAGTTTTAAAAGAATCTGTAGAATACGGCATCAGAACGAGGAATTTTAGAATGGTGCCCAAGTCTCGGTACAGGTGAAACAGCCATGAGGTGACCTTTACCCGGAGATCTGCCAGCCAGGACACCAAGAGAAACTCTCTTTGCTTTTCAACTCGTACTGCGGGAGCTATTGACATCCAGGCAGGTGGAAAAGACAAAAGGAGCAATAGGACGGTCTCGTCATCGAGTCCACTTGAAAACAAAGTCAGATGCGAGTGGTATTTAATTTAATTCGAAATACACACGTACCCTTCGTCGTGTACACCCGACGACAGCGAACGACAACGGTAAAGCAGCGTAAATGGCGAGGACTGTAAAATGCAGCTGTACCTGTGCGGTCGCCGTGGGTCCGGCTCCCGGGTCTGTGAGGAGGCCCCGCTGCCGAGCGCTGAGGGCGAGGTAGGGAGGAGTATCGGCTCGGACACCGGGAGAGTTCCACTCCCCGGCCCCCGCTTCAACACCGGTAACCGGGAGGGGGGGGGGTGACCGAGGCAGAGAGGAGGCCTGAGGAGCGCTGAGGTAACAGCGACCTCTCCCGCGCGAAAAATCAGCCTGACTAACCGTATCGCGCAGGCGCACTGCCCGGCGTTGAGCCCCCCCCCCCCCTTGCGCACGCGCGCTGCGCCTCCCGGGCCGCTCACCCTGTTGGAAATTCTCGGCCTCGTGTTGTGTTGTTCTCGAGCGGGCGACGGGCGGCTCCTCCGTGAGTGACAGCTGGCTCCGCGAATTAGCATGCAGAGAGGGCGGGGCAGCGCCGGGTCACAGCGCGTAAGGGGGGCGGGGGGGGCGGGACAACCGCGCCGATGCCTTGTCCCGCCTGTGCCCGCAGCGCCCCCTGGCCTGGGCTGACCAGCTAACCGGAACTGAAGGCTCCTCTCCAGGGCAAAGGTGGTCCATAATAGGATGGAATTTAGCATCAAGTTAGAGAGACAAGTCACAATAATCCCTCCGAACCCAAAAAACAATAACACAATGGTCATCTTCATGTTTGTGGGGCGTTGCTGTGCGCAATCGGCCGCCGCGTTCGCCCACAAATATACAGTCAATTCACTTTGCAGTATATTATAATAATAATAATAATAATCCTTGCATTTGATAGAGCGCTTTTCACGTCGGGAGGACGTCCCAAAGCGCTTCACAGAACACACTGTAAAGTGAATTGACTGTATATTTGTGGGCGAACGCGGCAGCCAATTGCGCACAGCAATGTCCCACAAACAGTCGTAGATTGAAAATGACCAATTTATTACCGTTTTGGGTTTTTTGGAGGGATTATTATTAGGCGTGTGAAGCGCTTTGGGACGACGAGAAGACGTGAAAAGCGCTATATAAAATGCAAGGATTATTATTATAGAAGTAGTTAAGTCCGAAGCAAAGGTCTTAAATTTAAGTAGAGCCAATTTTGCTGGTATGAGAGAGGATTTAGCCCAAATAAACTGGGAAATTAGACTTAAGGATTTGACGGGAGACCAGCAGTGGCAGACGTTTAAGGAGATGATGCAAAATTCCCAGCGAGCACGTATTCCTTTGAGGAATAAGAGTGACACGGGAAAGGTGGCCCAACCGTGGCTAACTAGAACAGTTAGGGACAGTATAAAGTTAAAGGAAGAAGCCTATCAAACAGCTAAGATGAGTAGTAAACCCGAGAATTGGGAGAACTTTAGGGGTCAACAAAGGAGAACCCAAAAAAAGTGATTAAGAGGGAGAAAATGGAATATGAGGGCAAACTAGCGAGGAACATAAAGACAGACTGCAAGAGTTTTTATAAATATATAAAGAGGAAGAGGCTGTCGAAGGTAAATGTGGGTCTGCTACAGGCAGAGACGGGGGGAATTATAGTAGGGGACAAAGACATGGCAGAGTGGAGACCTGTAGCTCAGTGGTTAGAGCACTCGCTTTGCAAGCGAGAGACCTGAGTTCAATTCCAGGCAGGGCGAAACCTTGGGCAAGTTTCCTTACTCCACACGCCTAATAATAATCCCTCCAAAAACCCAAAACAATAATAAATTGGTCATTTTCAATCTACGACTGTTTGTGGGACATTGCTGTGCGCAATTGGCTGCCGCGTTCGCCCATAAATATACAGTCAATTCACTTTACAGTTTGTTCTGTGAAGCGCTTTGGGACGTCCTCCCGACGTGAAAAGCGCTATATCAAATGCAAGGATTATTATTATTATTATTATTATTATTAAACAAGTACTTTGCTACTGTTTTCACCTTAGAAGACACTGAAAACCTACCAAGAATAGAGGGAGTGGCTAACAGATAGAAAACAGAGAGTAGGGATAAACGGGTCATTCTCGAATTGGCAGGATGTGACTAGTGGAGTACCACAAGGATCAGTGCTTGGGCCTCAGCTATTTACAATTTACATCAATGATCTAGACGAGGACATTGAATGTAACGTATCTAAATTCGCAGATGACACTAAACTCGGTGGGAGAGTAAGTTCTGAGGATGATGCAAAAGGTTGCAACGGGATATAGATAAGCGAGGGGAGTGAGCGAGTAGGTGGAAGATGGAATTTAATGTGGGGAAGTGTGAAGTTATTCACCTAGGTAGCAAAAATAGAAAAACAGATTATTTTCTAGAGGGGGAGAGATTAGATAGTGTTAGTTTTCAGAGGGATTTGGGTGTCCTTGTACAACAGTCTCAAAAAGTTAGTTTGCAGGTGCAGCAGCAACTAAGAAGGCGAACGGCATGTTAGCGTTCATTGCAAATGGTTTAGAGTACAAGAGTAGGGAAGTCTTGCTGCAACTGTATAGGGCCCTGGTGAGACCGCACCGAGAGTATTGTGTGCACTTTTGGTCTCCTTATTTAAAAAAGACATACTTACCCTCGAGGGGGTGCAGCGTAGATTCACTCGGTTAGTTCCTGGGATGAGGGGACTGACCTATGAGGATAAGCTGAATAAACTAGGGCTATATTCTCTAGAGTACAGAAGAATTAGGGGGGATCTTATTGAAACATATAAGATTCTTAAAGTGCTGATAAAGTGTCACTGATGGTCTGTTTCCCCCAATAGGAGAATCTATAACCAGGGGTCACAGTCTGAAAATTAAAGGTCAGCCTTTTAGAACAGAGTTGAGGAAACATTTCTTCACTCAGAGGGTAGTGAATTTATGGAATTCACTACCCCAGAAGGCTATAGATGCTCAGTCCTGAACATCTTCAAGGCTGAGACTGATAGATTTTTTTAAAAAAATAGAGGGATTAGGGGATATGGGGATAGGGCGGGTAATTAGAGTTAGGTCTGAAGATCAGCCATGATCTTATCCAATGGCAGGGCAGGCTCGAGGGGCCGAATGGCCTACGCCTGCTCCTATTTCTTATTTCTAACCTGGAGGCTCCAGGCAGGCATTGCAAGTCAGCACTCTACTCTGAGTTACATAGATTGTCACTCAGGCTGTGGAATCTGTCACTGTGTGGGACTTTGAGCTCACAGACTAGACTGACACTCCAATGCTTGGCTGGGAGACCACCACGTTGTTGGAGGTGCCGTCTGCTTGGACAAGGTGGACGTTAACGATACCGCAGAACTACTAAAGAAGAGAATGATTTTCTCCCAGTGTCCTGACAAACATCCCCCCTCAAATAAAATTGATCATTCATTTATTGGTTATTTGTGGGACAAACTGTAGCTTGTAGAGTCATGTAACTTAATAACAATAATAATCCTTGCATTTGATATAACTCCTTTTCACATCTTTGAGACGTCTTAAAGCGCTTCACAGAATATAATGTAAAGTGAATTGACTATATTTTGTGGGTGAAATGCGGCAGCCAAGTATGCACAGCAGTGTCCCACAAACAGTTGTGGATTGAAGTGACTAATTTTTTTTAAGGAATTACTACCCCCGGGAAAGCGACCCGCCAATCGACTAAGAACTGTGTTCCTAATTACTGCTAGGCAAACAAAGGTGTGTGGAGTAAGGAAACATATTCAACATTTTACCCTGTCAAAAATCGAACGCAAACATTGTTCGATGTTAATAATCAATGTGTTGATCTATCCTTTTGCTCTTCATTTGATAACCTTGGAATCAACTACAAACTTACCACCAGGAGGAGGTAGAGAACACAGCACATCCCCAATGGCACACCAAGAAAAATAAATTATGTTAGAGAGATTTGATGAATTCCAAGAAATCCAATTGGAACTGGACTGTCAGAGGCCTGGCTAGTGTATGTGTTTTTGTGTGGGTGGGGGTTCGCGGGACTGGGGAACAGCGTCACTTGGGTGGGGAATATGCTGTTGAGTGCATGGGAGTGATCTTTTGGCTGAGTGATGTGTTGGGTGGTGGGGAGCTGTGTGGTGGGTGGTGGGGAGCTGTGTGGTGGGTGGGGGGGAGCTGTGTGGTGCGTGGGGGGGAGTGTTGTGTTTGGTGGGAAGAATGGTGTGTTCGTGTGGAGGGAGGATGGCATTGGGTGGGCGGAGCACTGTGTTGGGTGTGGGGGAGAGGTGTGTTGGTTGGGGGGGAGCAGTGTGCTGGGTGGGGGGAGTAGCGTATTCAGTGGGCGGCTATGTTGTGTTGGGTGCTGGGGAGCGATGTGATGGGTGGGGGGTAGCAGTGTGTTGGCTGGAGGGACAAGTGTGTTCGGTGGGGGGAATGATGTGTTGGGGTGGAGGGAGCAGGTTTTGGGTGGGGAGAGCATTGTGTGGGTGGGGGGAGCGGTGTGTTCTAGTGGAAGAAGCGGTATGTTGGGTGGGAGACTTCAGTGTGTTGGGTAGAGGGGAGCAGTGGGTGGGGGGGAGCCATGTGTTGGGTGGGGGCAGCCATGTGTTGGGTGGGGGCAGCCATGTGTTGGGTGCAGGGGAACAGTGTGTTGGGTGGAGGGAGCCATGTGTTGGGTGCAGGAGAGTGGTGTGTTGGGTGGGGGGAGCAGTGTGTTGGGTGCAGGAGAGCGGTGTGTTGGGTGCAGGAGAGCAGCGTGTTGGGTGCAGGAGAGCGGTGTGTTGGGTGCAGGAGAGTGGTGTGTTGGGTGGGGGGAGCCGTGTGTTGGGTGCAGGAGAGCGCTGTTTGGGTGCAGGAGAGCGGCGTGTTGGGTGCAGGAGAGTGGTGTGTTGGGTGCAGGAGAGGGGTGTGTTGGGTGGAGGAGAGTGATGTGTTAGGTGGAGGGGAGCGGGGTGTTGAGTTGGGAGAATCGTGTGTTGGGTGAGTGAGAGTGGTGTGTTGGGTGGGGGTCACGGTGCTTTGGGTGGTAGGAAGCAATGTGTTGGGTGGGGGAGATCGGTGTGTTAGGATAGGTGGAGCAGTGTGTTGGGTGAGTGGGGGAGCTGTGTGTTGCTTGACGGAGAGCAATGTGTTGGTTGGGGGGAGCAGTATTTTGAGTGGGGGAAGCGGTGTGTTGGGTGGGGGGAGCGGTGTGTTGGGTGGGGGGAGCAGTGTGTTGAGTGGAGGGGGGCGGTGTTTTGGGGTGGATGGATCGGAGTGTTGGATGTTGGGGGGAAGTGGTGCGTTGGGTGCAGGGGAGCATGCAGTGTGTTTAGTGGGGGACTTCGGTGTGTTGGTGGAGGGGAGCGGTGGTCGGGAGCAGCCATGTGTT